GTCATCTAGCGGGACTTTGACTTGACCTTGTTTTCCTTCTGCGTAGGTAATATACATAATGTGCAATTCCTTATATATGGACCAATTCAATGAACTACCTAGTCCCAGGACTATGCCTCAGTTGTTAAATGAAAAAAATATGTGTTGATTATTATTTATTCTTTTTTCTGTTGTTGTTTTTTTGTCTTTTTAAGAAAGGGTTTCATCATGTTGGTGAAAAAAACATGACACCATGCTGGTCTTGAATTCACTTTGTAGCAGGGCTGATCTCAAACTCACAGCAATCCTCCTGCCTCTGTCTCATAAGTGGAAGGATTACAAGGTTATACCACCATGCACAGTTGTGTTTTTGATAATAGCTATTGTTGTTATTGTGAGGTGTTATGGTGAGCTCCCTGAAGATTTGACTTACATTTTCTAATGATCAATGATGTGGAGCTTTTTTCATGTAGCTCTGTTACCTTATGAGAAATGTCTCTTTATGCCTTCTCCCCTTCTTAATCCAGTTTTTCTGGGATTTTATACTAATGAGAATTCAAAATGCTTTATATATTCTGAATCTTTTCAGGTACAAAGGCTTCTATCTCTTCAGTGGGTAAGTATTCGCTCTCATGTACAATGTATCTGTTAATTGTTGCTAACAAGAGAAACAGACTTAGTACAAATAATAGCAATATTTACACATTGGCTTTCAAAGGTCAACCACAGATTCAGGTGTGGAAAACTGCAAAAGATTGTCTGTGCAGTGGAGATCTAAGGCCACCCATCACAGGTGGCTATCAGGAGGCTAAAGTGTCTTCAATGGAAGCCAGAATTTGACGTCCAAGCTGAACATGAAGGCTACAGCTCCTTCAGAGGAACAGAAGTGTGTCTCCCCTCTTTTCCTCCTCCTCTATCCAGGGGACAAAGTTTATTGGCTGCTGTCATTCACACCCAGTCTGAATTTTTTCAACAAAATCATTGAACCGCACCCAGATTCATGCTGATCCAATTCAGGTGAGCAACTCAGACTCAAGTTTACATAATCAGTTAACTGTCGCAGGGTTTTAAGTGATTGCTTTCTACACTGAGAAGATGATTTTAGTTTGCTTCAGTCCTGTTTGTGTGTTTTTGTTGATTTCCTGGGCTTTTGAGGTTTCTTTCCAAAAAGTCCTCATTCATTCCATTGTAAAGTCCAGGTTTGGATATATTGCCATGGGAGACCAAATTATAGGAATTACAGAGCCTTTATGACTTAGCAAGTGACCAATTTGCTTCCCATTCTTACCTAGGAAAACACAGAAGGCCCAGTTCTTTGTTCACTACTAGTTTGTATGATTTCTTTGTTGCCATAGCGATGGGGCTGAACTTGGTGCCCCCTATATCCAACAGGTTGGAGGCCTCAAGCAGAGGGATTATTGGCAAAGCATGAGAAAATGATCTGGCTTTACTGCCCTTAATTTTTCTGTCTCCTCAATATCTTCTACATGTTTGTGAAGTTTGACAGCTTAGGGAAGGAGTGAGGGATGAGGTAATTTAAGCAAC